CTTTTTGGAATCTCTGTTGCAATGATGCCAACCTTCCATGATCTACGTTTTAGTTTTTATTTTGGCGCACTTTTTTGTTTTGTTTTTTTGGTATTACGATTAATTAATCACTTTGGTTGGCTAGCTATTCGACTTCGCATCTTATGAATTATGGCTAATTAATGGATTAAAGTTCAGTGATTTTAACAATTTAGTCCTTGCCATTTTGAAGATGAATTTTGTATCATTATTTTTAATTGACTTTTTGCTCAAATTTGAATAATTTTGGAATGAGATAATTTTAGTATGTACTGTAGACGTAATCTTGATGTCAGAGGAAGTTTAATTCAAGGTATTGATCCATCATTAAGTTAAAGCGCCAAAGTCACAAGATTGTGTGACTTTTTCACTACTTTAGCTCCATTTCGATGCTGATTAAATTCAATTGAATCGAACGAGATTTGAAGATCTTTCTCCTCTACTTACCACCTTTATATTTATACAAAATCTACATAATACAGATTTTTATTCTGTTTTTGGAGCGAGGAAAAAAGAAAAGAAAAGAAAATGTAATGAAATGAATGGGGGAGATACAGAAGGTGAATAAAATGAAATAATAAAATTGTATCGAAGCTCGTAGCTTATTTGACCTTTCATGCCTTGACTCAGCTCGCGTTGCCCATGTGCAGATTGATTTGTGCTCCGTTAAGTTCACACGTGTCTTGGATTATAACCGCAAAAAAAATTAAAGAAATAATACTTCTTCTTGACTTCCCCCACCTCCAATTCTTTTCTGCTCCTTTTGCACATTAGTTTGACTATTAATGTCGAAATCAGTTTACGTTTTTCAACAGAAAATTAGCTTTCTCAAATATTCCGTATCGTAAACAGAATCAGATATCTTGCTTTTTGTGTGTGTGTATGTGTGTCGAGAGAAATAATTGAGAAGCTAAATTGAGATGGAATGACTCAATTTATTATATTGAAGTCAGGAAAAATTAAATACATACGAAAGTAAAGGAGATTCTGTCGTTTGATTGGGGATTATAAAGGCGCTTTTAATTGATTTGTTATGAATTTTGTCAATGATGTCTTAAGAGGTGAACATGAGCTGTTAGACTATATGAAAGTCAATCTATAATTCTTCATTAATGAAAGAGGTGAGTTCGAATCTCACAAAATATGTAGCATTAAAAACAAAACTTCAAGGCAAATATTATACGCTCATCCTGATTATTATGCGCTAGAGAAGCAAATTTAAATGAAGAAAAGGATCTAACAAGGTCTAATCCTAAAGCCATTGAAGTCACACTTATCTTGGACCGAATATACTGATGAAACTATCTTTGTTTATTAGTAATGCCTTGATGACTTCTAGAAACAAACAAAACACACATCTAAATACTCACAAAATTTATAAAACTATTGTCCATAGCTTTACATAATTGGATGAAATATTTTAAGCAATAATCATAAAAACACACACCAGCAATTTTAACAAGAAAAACAATTACCGAAAATTAACGGTTCTCCTAAACGACTACAACTCCTTATTTTGAATAATAAATTACCAGAAACAAAAATGCATTTACCTTACTTACCCAAAACAATTTATAAGCATACAGCCTAATTCCATAAATTTAAGGAGTGTAACCTTAAATAAAGCAATATTTTAAGTAATAACACATCCAACCAAACTGTTCAAAATAGCCCACTTTTAGTAAAAAAAAACTAATGAAGAAAACAAGAAGACAGTAAAATTATTTATAAATCACCGAAAATTGCCTGTCAATTCGTCTGTAAGCGAGCAGAGAGAAACAAAAAAAAGTATACACAGAAGAATTTTTTTCTTCTCTCTAAGGAATCATTAGTCAATTTGTACATTTCAGCTTTGTGTAGCAATAAATAATTGCGTCACAAGCACCTAAATCACTTTGAACTGTTACATTATATTATATTGTATATGCATATATCCATTTATATCTTTATCCTCATTTGCGAACAACAAAATATTGTTATTATGCCTGCCTTTGGCAATAAAAACAGTGAAAATGTACACAAGTTTACAATCCACATGCTTTCGTCAGTTCATTGCTATCATTAAGAAATATTCTTTACACTTCAAAAATGCCTTTTATTCTCGTTGACATCAACATCAAGCTTTATACTTCATAATTTCTATATAAAATAAGAGGCAAAAGACTCATGCCAATTAAAATGATGAAGAAAAATCATTTTTCATACAATCTTCTCGTATGTTAACTGCTCTGTGCCCTTAGAATGATTTTTAGTGTTTAATTTTGAGAGATCTTGATGAAATTTTGTAGTTTTGACAAGTTTTGACTTTCTTTTTGTATTTTCATCGGTTTTTTATATAGATTGATATAGGTAAGCTGTTATGGGTTGTTGATATGTGTTCTATACGTCGGTATCTAAATCTTGTATTAATGACATAGTGGTCTTGAGTTCAAAGGTTGGTTTGTAGAGCTGCTCGAGATGTTCTGACTCAGAATCGAAAATCGATGAACCATACAACTTAAAAATTAACTGTAACTTAAATTGGGGATCTCGGGTAGAAATTGACACTAAGATAAAGAAGCTAAAGTCCTAGAAAGATTGATAATTTCTTATAAAATATCTTCATGTTTCTACAAACAATAGCTAATATTGCAGCTTATAAAACATAAACAACTCTAATGTTTTAATTAATTAACATAAAAGTAAAGTTTATTACAAATAAAATAAAATCAAAAATCTATTAAAACCCAAATTAAAAACTCACACAATTCATAACATTGAGAATGTATCAATCTCACAAAATCTTCTCAGCAGAAAAACGAAATGAAAAGAAAAAAAGTCAAAATATATAAACACACATTTTTCAGCAAATCGGATCCGACAGCAATCACATATGTTTTCAATTTTAGACATTAAAATTAGGTACTAATTAAATGCAATAGTTCTTTTTTTATGGCTCGTTTGGAATCATTTTCATTTATCATTTTATTGCTTCCTTTTGTATGACATTTTGTATGAACAGTAAAGCGTAGAAAGAATACAGAAATTTATGCACATGACGATCGTTGGGTACCCTTTTGTACAATAAATTATTTTTGCACTATAAAATGAAATAAAAGCGACTTTAAAATTGCAAATTTTTTTGTGTTTGAATGCAATAAAAATTGTAGAATAAATTTTATTGCTGATTTTTTTTGTGTAGTGTGATTTATTGAAATTGTTATGAAAAGAAAATTGGATAAAATGCTGACATTTTGACTAAAATTTTAATAAAATGTTTAAAACTTTTAAGTTTACGCTTGGTAATATTTAAATATTAAATATAAGATAAATATTTATGATTATTACATAAAATTCTTAGGGTTCAATTTCTATAAATGACAGTACTTACAAGATTAATCGATGAGACCTGGAATAACTGTACACTTTTTTTAAAAATATAATATTAAATTTTCTCAAATGCGCTTTAAAAAACTTTTACTTTTTACAAATTTATTATTTTTTAATTTGAATCTCATCAATTAACCATTTAACGCTTCTTCAAGCACTGACTTTTTACGAAAGAAAAATATAACATCAAAAAAAGAAATGTAAGGAATCGTTTACCAATTGCGATAAGGGGGCGGGCAAGGGGTCACATAGCCAAAATAAACTTCATTCATATAGACTGTATTGTAGATTAAAATCTCAAAATAAAATATCCCGCGTTACGTTATAAATGAATGATCCCTTAGTAAATCGTTTATATTAATAAATGCTGGCAGTTTTCATTCACAATTAAAATTTTATTATACCATCCTTATTTTCACAAAAAAAATATAAAAATATGTATCATAAAAATTGAAAATTATGTGTGTGTGTGCATTTGAAAAAGTCGTAAAAGTTTATTTTCAGTTTCAAATGAAATTGAGAATTGCTTGAGAATCTTTTTGATGTCTCTCACTCAGGAAAGAATGTAATGGAGAGGGAAAATATCTTTTATAGCTTAATTTTCAATTTTTTTTTGCTTTTAGTAAATCGTTAACACAAAAAAATTTAATTTCGTGATCGTCTACCTGAAGCTATATTATTAAATTTGATGGAACCGTTACAATTAGTAGAACACAGAGAAATCAAACAATTCCAAAATGTTCTCATCTGACCCGTGAGACATGCTTCATATTCAGGGTTCCTTTCCATTTATAGATGATAATTTATGAGATCATCCACACAAAAAATAAATATTGAGGAAATATACAGGCCACGAAATGTCAAAAGACACCGTTAAATTCAATTTTCGATTCATGAAATATTGTCTTCTTATTTCTTTTCTAAAAAATATTTATTTCTGCTATCCATCGGTCATTTAAGTTCGCGAAAAAAAAAATGAAAAGTCATTGAACACAAAATGTAAAAACAAATCTAAAATATTTATTAAAAATCGATAAAGCGATGAGTTGAGAGAAACGGAAGAAGAAACAAAATCATCGCACATACCGCTAATTCTTTTTCATAATGGCCAATTCATTGCGGCTATGTAACGTAAATCTGTCAAACAAAGACTTCATTTTTCATTATTAAGTGAAAAGTAGGGGAAGTTAATAAGTTTTTGACAATTGGGCGCATTTGATCTGATTTTTGAATATGGAGTTTCATGGAAATTTTTGGGGTCCATCACAAATGAAGATGGGATCCATAAACTGCTTAAATCAGTTTTAGGTTGTCTCTTATTTTATATAGCACTTAGTTTAAGGATAATCATCTAGAAAATTTAAACGTTTAGAAGGTCTTTGACCCTAAGTACGCCTCTGAGCAGCATGACATTAAAAATAAAATTTATTGCACATTTATTAGCTGTTTTACCTGAAATTTTGAATTAAGTCATTTCAAAATAATCCTACAAGCAGCTAATCATACTTCAAACTGTTTAAAACACATCACACATAAACATCAAATGTGCTAAAACATTTCTTCTTCCTCTATTCTCAATGTCTTATTTTCTATTCCAATTTTTTTATTTATAGAATCGCATAGCAACTGCTCAAATAGCAATTAATAACATTATCGTCATCCTCATCTACTTCTGCATCAAATCAAGTGTCGAATGCAGAGTGAAACGATAATAAAATAAGAATAAAATTGCATTACAAATATTCTCTATTTTTTATCGTTTATTTCTATCAATCTTTCAATGAGGCACCGTAGCTTAATGCAAAAGGCACGAAGAAAAAATTGAAAAAACACACATCTCCGGCATTAAAAGGTATAGTGACGTGACGAAAACGACAACAATAATAAAAGTCGAGAGAAAGAGGAAGTGGAGAAAAAAATGACAGATGCAATAATGAAACTATCAGATATGCAACAGAGATCGATAGAATATGAACGTCAACGACATTTAGCCAATTGGTTAATTGAATCTAGTCCACATATGCCGAAACCCGTACAATGCCAGCAGCCACAACAGAAAAAACAGAAAAAAATATTCACAACGTCAATATTTCACGATTCATTTTTGTTTCTAAGTAAATTTGGTCCATCGACGACACAAAATCACCATCACCAGAGCACCGAACAAGATCAAATTATTCAGTCACCTGCGCCCATAATAACTCCACATACAGTACAACAGCACACAAATCTAACGAAATCATCGTCAGCATTCACATCGTCACAAACAAATTTACCATTACAAATTGTCCAATCGAGTCGTGATGGTAACAAGCCAAAACTGAGAAGGTTTAACTCGCATGATACGAGTGCAAATATGTTTTCTGTGGCAGACTTTGAGAACGCTCGTTTAGCACGGCGCAATGAACTGGAACTAGTCAGACAAAAGCAACGATATAAAATGAACTCGTTGAGTTCGGGCTGTGATTCATCGACAGGCGATAGTAAAGGATCAAAATTGAGTAATGAGGTAAGCATTAATGCATGAATAATTTTTTCGACATTACTAAACTTCAATTACTTTGTAAATTTACTCAGGTTCACTTTTATGATCCAATTAGTTCCGAAAAAAATTGAAACCTTCAAGCTTTATTTCATCCATATCCGTTCGTCTCTTGCTGGGCGTTTTCTGTCTTCCTTTTGTCGCTTTTATTTTTATTTTTGCGGCATCATTTAATATGTCGATATTTTCGATACCTTTTTCCTGCATCAAATTAAAGGCCGCGTCTCAGCAAGAGAGTCATTCTTTTATTATATTCCATGTACACACTTAATAAAAACGAAATTGCAGTCGGTAGCAGCCTGAACTGATTATTATCGCATTCAATTAATTTTTTCCCTTCTGTTTCGAACTCTTTTTTTTTCAAGTCAAAAATCATCAACAATGATCCAATGTCAGCTGAAATGTTTCTCGATCGTTATTCGTTGCCGAGAGTGGCTCGATTAATTGTGCCACAGACGAAAGGTATTTATGATGAAAAACTGAATCAGTCATCAAATTCAATGGCAGTAAAGAGCAAAAAGTCAGTAAATCATGGCAATAGTAGTTATCCAATTAATCCCAATCAACAACAAATGACTACCAACAGCCATGAGAGTGGAAATGGTGCAAACTATCAACAGCAAAACGATGACATAAAAGCTAATGCAACAACAGTCATAGCGGATAACAATAATAACGGAGAATTATTTTTGTTGTATCGGCACTTGAAGAAGTATAAAGTTTATCATGCGATCAATGCAAAAAGTGGCACGAACAGGAAGAAAGGCATTAAGATACCACAAGATTTTACAGGTGAGTTCAATTGGCTATAAAAAAAATTATGTACTTATCACATCATTATAAATGCTCACATGTAGTCACTGAATCTCTCAAGTAACATTATTTTGAGCCACACAACTTACCAGAACATGACATAATTTGAACTAGACTTGATTGTATGTGATGGAACTTATAGTGCAGTCTGTCATCTTAAAATAGACAATGAAATGTTAATTTCTCAATAAAATTGACATAATCTCAGATGATGTTGCTGCTCCTACCTCCTATTATAAAGTCATTGGAAATTTACAACTTTTCTTATTTATCATGTACGAATCACAATTTAATGCTTTGGCTGAATGACATCAACTCTCATCATTCATTCATGTATTTACTTCTTATGCTACTTCTGACTCTCATTTTTTTCATAGCTCCTTCTCTTTTTTGATCAATAATAATGTAAATGTAAGCAGAAGTACATGCTCGACGAGAAGAAATGTCGCCAAAATCGAGCAAAGAACTTGTTTGTTTGCCTTCAAAATAATAATAAAGCTACGACAAGTGAATGTGAATGTATGCCAGTAAGTGACAATAAGCACATTCATATCAATGACCTATTAATGTGCAAGAAGCGACATGATAAGCAACAATTTTCGGCTATCATTGACGATGATAATTTTTATAGCCTGGCATAAATGTCTGTGAATGATAAAAAAGAAGGAAAGATTTTACTTTTAAATGAGAAAGTTTCAGTCGTTGACTCGACAAGCTTAAGAATGGTATTTGGAATATGAGAAAAAATATCCGCAGGGGTTTGAGGCATGAAACCTTCCATTTTTTAACCCCAAAATTTTATTTTATATTTTATATGATTTTGCCTTGTCCTTTATGTCAGTTCCTCTTCTCATTTTTCATTTACATCCACATGGATACTTCTTCATCCTTTTTAAGTCAGATCTCAGTCATGGTTTTGTTATTATTATCAATCGTTGGATAAAAATATCCTCAAGTCATTCGCATTTCCTTCAATTTTTTGTCCAGCACAGTTATTGCTAACTGAGAGTATAGAAATTATCAACAATCGGGAGTGCATGCAATTATTTTATGGTTTAATCCAATGGATGAGTTGAGCTGCTTCAGATTCAGAACTTAAAAGTGATTGGAAGTAAATTCTGTCGCGACTGAAATCTTTGCTTCTTAAAATTTATTCTCATTTCTTTGCAAAGTAATAAAATTAAATCGCGTAAAATATTCGAGAATCCATTCTGAACTTCTTGCAGTTCCTTTCATCTTGTTTTTTTCGACATCATCAGCTGAATCTTAATTTTTCCCCTTTTTTTATTACATCGACTGCTCCTTTACTTCAATGCTATTGTCGCCAACAACAGCCTTGTTTGTTGCCACTTTCTTCCATCCCATTCATTTTTCATTCCTTACTAAAACTACCGAGATTGTGTGACAAGGCAATGCTTGAAAGTTTTTGCACATTTTAGCAGAAAATAAAAATTGATTCATTCATTTTTGTGGGTTTTTGCACATGCAGCACTTCTTCTTACATCTTTTCATTTTAATTCTTCTTCATATTCAACTTAGTTACTGTCACTGCTACTTCTGTTGTTTTGTAGCAACAATGAAAAAAAAATATCAATAGTCATCACTTTTTAATCTTTTTTATCATGCTACTTAATTTTACGAATATAAAAGGATGTCACATTGTGATCCACATGAATATTATTTTGTGAATGAACTTGAATGACTTTTATAAGGTCCTTGTGACTTTCATTTAAAAAGGGTACAACGTCCATGAATTTTTGTATAACAAATGAATCTTGACACCTACTTTTGTGCATTCATTCAAGAATTTGTGATGCTGAATAAGTTGTTACTAGCTGATGAGGAATGAGTTGCGACTTTATAAGACACGTGGTGATATTTTGCTCAATTCTTGAAAAATTTTGTTTGATTAAGTAGCATCACTTGCTGTTTGTTGGGCTATACTGATGCTTTAAAGCAGAAATTCTGTAGTATTCAGCCTTAGAATATCAAAAATAAATATAAACCAAGCTAAAAATACAGCAAATACCCACACAAGATTCTCTTTTAATTGTTTCACCTGAAATGTCTTTGAGCACATCCCAACATAGCCTAACATAAACCTCTGTTGACATAATTATCTAAAAATTACACAGATTTTACTCGTGCACAAAGAATTCTTCTTCTTAATACTTAATCATAATTAATTCTTATTGCCGTATCAAGTTTAATCAAGCAAAATTTGTCAAGCATGGCGAGGACGAGCAAAAATGAAACCACAAAAGAGACACGAAAAAGTGAATGAAATAAGAATGTCAATTAGAATGAAGGTCAGGGGCGTAGCCAGAAAATTTTTAAGGGGGGGCCCATTTTCGAAAATTAAAAAACCGTTATTTTGTATCCTTAAATCTATATTCATTCTTCATAAGTTTAAATATTTAATTCATTATTCATACATTAAATTTAATTTTTCGTGCTGATTTTGACATTTCTTTCATCAATTCCTCTACATTAACTGGTTCTTATCTATAAATACTTAATAAATCAATTATCAGATTTTCGTAGGGGGGGCCCGGGCCCCCTATGGCCCCCCCCTGGCTACGCCCCTGATGAAGGTCAATGGAGATGAGAAATTTGAAGCCAAAAAAGTTTTTCATCTTTTAAAAAAAAAAGTACAGCTGACGATGGCAATTTCAGTTTGGCATTTTTCCATCTTTTTCACTTGCTCCGTTTCATTTTCCATCTGAATTTATTTTATTTCTTAGAACTTGTAAGCATGTGTGGATGAATGATGTTGATTTTCAGTCTTCTCCGCATATTTGTACTTCAATTGTGACGTTTAAAGAGAAATGAAGAGCAAATGGACAACACGTGCATCACATCATAACACAAAAGCTGTTGCCAGTTGACGAATGATATTGCCATCATAATCTCAGATTTAAAGGAACAAAAAGTTCTTTGATTCTGCATTCTGTTAGTATAGCATTTAGTTCCATCAAATCTTCATCTACACTCGACTGTCCACACAAAGAAGAAAATTAAATAAAAATCAGCACGAGATTTTCAATGTCAATTCTTCTTTAATTTCCTCTTATGTTTGATGCTGTTTTTGGTGATATACGAATGATTTTTGTGTTGTTTTCTGTTTTTTTCTCATCGTCCACAGAATTGAATTGTGTGCGCTTACGGTGCCGTGATAGACAGTTGGACATTCGTTGAAGTCAGATGTGCGTAAATCCTTTTAATTAACATTTTAATCAACAAAATTAAATTACAATGAAAACGACATACAAGAGACATGTGTAAATGAGCTCAGCAACAACTGTTCCGTGATTTTTGTTGTTGTAACTGACCGTGTACTGATTTGTAGAACAAGAAAATATGGAAATATATTCAAGTACAAAGCAATAATTATAATCAAAATTGCGTAATTAAAATGTCAAGAAAAATTCTTCACAGCTCAAACTTCTTCTTATTCTACCGTCCGTTCGTTGAGTCGCGCATGTTGTTAAGATTGAGTCAACTCAGCTGGTCTCCATTGTTGTCGTTGGAATTAAAAAGAGTTGATTTTTCGCAACTAAAACTTTTTTTATTAAAATTCAATGAAAAATTATGAAATGTTTATAAAAACTAACACCAAACCCAAGACTATATGACAGACTGATTCCTTTTGCGGTTTCTTAACAGATTTAAGTCATTGTAGCTCGCTCATTCACTTGATTTATTTTCGTGTCTGCTTCTTCGTTTTTTTTGCGCATTCATTGTTCACTAATTGCTAGATAAATCTCACACCTTTGTTCCATACATCTTAAGCTATATGCCATGACTTTACATCAATTCCTTGCTATTCATTAAATCACCCGTCTATCTCTTTCTCTATTGATTCTTCACACTTGGTGCTGTTGCCAATTTCTTTTGTTGCTTTATGCACTTTTTTTTCCATTGCACTTTTGTCTATGTCTCTCACGGATCTCCTTCATTATTTCTTTTGTTCTTTTCCACTTCATTCTTGTTCATTCCAGTGTTGCATTCTGGCTATTTGTCTGGATCAGATAAATTCTGAGACAGAAATTTCTTCATAAAATCGATTCTACATGTAGAAAGAAAAAAACCATCTACATGTAGATTGTGTCTACATGTAGAATCTGTCTACATGTAGATTTAATGTAGATGTCTACGATTCTACATTCTTCTCTGATGTAGACCTGGAAAAAATGTAGAATTATAGACATCTACATCGAATCTACATGTAGACAGATTCTACATGTAGACACAATCTACATGTAGATGGTTTTTTTCTTTCTACATGTAGAATCGATCTTTATGAAGAAAGTTTCTTAGCTAGACAAAAACTATTGAAGAATCTACATTCTTCATCTAGTGTAGACATCTACATTTGCAACACTGGTTCATTCTTGAGACTCATGTATTGTTCTTGACCGAAGATGAATGGAAAGTCAAGTCTGTGCTATTACATGATGAATGAGTGCTGTAAAGATTTATCCATTTTCCTTTCATCTTCTAATGAGAATTTTCATCCATTCTTGTGCATGTCAGAACATTTTAAAAACATCACATAATCATAATGATTGTCATAATAAGTCTGTCTATGCTGCAGCTTGTCATTATATTTTACATAATTATTCGTTATGATTTTTTTTGCTTCTTTTACGTCAACATTTGTTCCATTAAACAAATTGCAATGTAAACTCCTTACACTATTGTCATTCAAATTATTATTTATCACTAGGCAATAATTTAAGACATGACATGTCATAAAAAAGAACGGCATACACATGCTTAAGTAATAAATAAATAATGGAAAATGTTTGGTTTTGAGACAAATTTCTTTCGCTTTTTTTTTCTTGCTTTTGCAATGCATTTTCTGCTTACTTCTTCTTAGAGACCACAATTTGCTTCGGTAGACATGTATACAATTAGTTTAAATTGTCTATAGATTATTCGATATTATTTAATACTAGATTCACTAGTTTTTAGAT